GCGTTTTTTTACAGGAGCAAAGGAAGCAAAGTTTCCTTACTTTAGCAAAGGAAAACCAGTCTCCTCTTGGCTTATCCTCGTTTTTTACTTCTAATTCGTGACTGCGCTTCCGCGTTCTTCACTTCTGTGCGGTGCATGCGCAACGCCGACGTCCTACGTCATCCTCCCGGAGCTGCTTCCATGTACAACAGTGAGCGCAAGCTAGATTAAATTAATTATTATGTTTTAAATATGTTTATTTTTCTTACAAAAACACATCGATTCACTAAAGGAGGCCTTTGTTCACCCCCCGGAGCCATGTGAGGAAGTTTTATTATGGATGGATGCGCTGTATTTCACTTCTTTTGGACTGAAGCACTGCAACACCCGCTGACTGCCATTAAACAGCTTGGAAGATCAAAGACAGTTGTTGAAAATTTCAAGTTATTTTATTACTGCTGAACTTTAGCAACTGTATTAAAGTTCTTCAGTCAAGAGCAGTGAGTTATTTTTCTCTTTGTGTTTTATTTTATTAACATTAAAGGAATAGTTCATCCAATAATGAAAATTGTCAACATTTACTCACTCTCAAGTTGTTTTTAACCCGAATGAGTTTCTTTCTTCTGTTGAACATAAAAGTTATTTTGAAGAATGTGGGAAACCAAACAGTTGATGGTCCCTCGTGACTTTCATATTTCTTTTTCCTACTATTAAAGTCAGTGGGGACCAGCAACTGTTTGGTTACCCACATTCTTCAAAATATCTTTCGTGTTCAGCGTAAGAATAAATAAAAATTAATACATGTTTGGTACAACATGACTGATTAAATTAATTTTCATTTTTGGGTGAACTAACCCTTTAATGACACAGACAGCAGTAGGTTTATTAGGCTGCTGTCCCTTTAACACAATGCATGGATCTAATATACACATCCGATTTCTTTCTCAATTGTTTGTTCATTTAAGACATAACTGACTGTCTTTATGTAAATACTCATGAGAATGGACATTTTGACATTTTTTTGTGTATTTTTGACCAGTTATGTGTGCACCTGAAGCCCCAAGTATACTTTGCTTGTTCGTGTTTAGCTCCGTGTCAGAGTGCGCGCACAGAACCCGCCTGAGGAACAGTCGCTTTCACAGTTAAATGCACTTTTAATAACTGTTTTTAAAATAAACCATGTCCCGCAGTAGATTGCCTTTTACGACACATTACACGATTGGACTGATTTGGGTGTTAAGCTTTTAAGGACAGGCGAATGAACACCGCTTTAAATGAAAGGAAACGGTATGCAGAATGACGAAACAAACTAAAATTTCATTCATCACGCTTGTACTGTTAGCCCACATTGAATTGTTTTTCAAATCTGTGCGGCATGTCAGAGTTTTATTCCTAAAGTAATTAATTCTTATATAATCTAGCATCTATCTGTTTGTCTGTCTATCTATCTTGTATTTAATTTTTTTTTTTTTTTTTTTGCCCACAGAACAGTGTAATTACGGTATATACTAGCAGTAATTAACTTGACCATGCCAGCCAGACCTTGATCCACAGTCTGTAGTTGAAGTGCAGGGGACTTTTACCTTTTACCTGTGACTGACGGATCTTGTCTGGAAAGGTGGAATTAGAAACCTTTGCACTAAAGAGAGGGAAGAGGATGAAAAACAAATACAAGCCCACACGCATATTCCTATTCTTCATGGAGGACTGTTATTTTCTCTGCTGCTTTGCCCTTTAACCATGAGCGTAGGAACTACACCTGCACAGCAGGACGGAGGTCTGTTTACTTGTGTCCTTTTGCGTTTGCGTGTGTGTTTGCTGTCCTTTGCATCATCCAGCTCTAACAAGCTCTGTGAGTCTTTTCTGAAAGTGAAAGTGTCAGATTGCAAAGGAATGCATGAAATAACTGATCTGTAACAGGCTTTGCTGAGTTGCAGTTTTTCCTGCACAAACACTAAAACTAGACTGTAGCGTTTTATCAACTGCTATGCAGACACATTCAGCTCAGTGTGTTTCTTTACCCAGCTAAGGAAATGTCAGGAATTGTTTGCACTGACGTACTACATATGCTTATCAATGTTGGGGCAAAAGCTAAAACTCTTTTTTTTTAATGTGAAAGTGAACTACACACAGCAGTAAATATGACCCAAAATGACAGTTTTTCTTAGCTGCTTTGTGTTTGAATGTCAGTCAAACATTTGAATTCATCATCATTGTCATTTACTCACACCAATCAATGAGTGTCTAAAATACTTATCAATGTTGGGGCAAAAGCTAAAACTCTTTTTTTTTTAATGTGAAAGTGAACTGCACACAGCAGTAAATATGACCCAAAATGACCGTTTTTCTTAGCTGCTTTGTGTTTGAATGTCAGTCAAACATTTGAATTCATCATCATTGTCATTTACTCACACCAATCAATGAGTGTCTAAAATAAAGAAAATGAAAAATTTAGTTTAAGTTTCTTAGAAATACAGCCTTTGTATTAATGTTGGTTCAATAGTGTTTTGAAAAATCACATTTTAAGTGATCACATGAAGGTTACATCACATGACATTTTTTCAAGTAAAAACCGATAACATTTTCCTTTGAATACATGTGTACACATCTTATTAATTGAAAAACCTTCGAAAATATTTTTTTTAGTGAAAATTATTTTTCATTTATAGTTGCACCACTTGATTGCACCAATAGAGTGTTTTTTTTAATGCTGCTTTGCTTATAATAACAAAAATAATAATAATAATAGTCATAATAATAATGAAATATTATGCCAAATTTCTTTTTCACTTTACTCTTCAAGAATCTTTTTTAAAGCTCTTTGTGAAAAAAAATAATTCTTTTGAGTTGGATCTTATCAATGAAGCGGTTGGTCCAATTCAACAAGCCTGTCTTAATTATTCGGTCACAAATTCATGATCCATTAAATTCTCAGTGTATATAAAAAAAACAAGTACTGTTTCACTCCAAATTGCGGCGTATTACGAAAGTAAAATAGGTTACATGATTTGAAGAGCACTGTATCTCGGATCACGTGTAGCACTTTGAAGCTGCTTTGAACCAATTTGTATTGTATAAAGAGCTATAGAAACAAAGGTGACTTGACTTGACATGGTGTGTGCTTGACAATGTTATATTTATTGTTCATAATGTTTCCTCTGCAGGTCCTGCTCAGGTTCCCATGATGTCCCCAAACGGTTCAGTGCCTCAAATCTATGTGCCTCCTGGATATGTTCAACAGGTGAGTCATTACGGAATTAATTTCATATTATTTTTATAGGAGTTGTTATTTTGGTTTGGTCAAAAAGGTGCAATTTTCGTTCTCATTTACATCTCTATTGCCCTTTTCCAATCTTGTTGAGCGTCCGACCTAACAGCATTTTCAGGCATCATAGGCACTGTAAAAGTGAAGACTGCTCCCTTAGGACACATTCTTGCCTATAAAAGAGCTAGATAGAGTGCGCTGGAATAGATAAAAAAATAAATAAAATTCCAAAATGCTGTACATTTCAACAAGATATCAAAATCTTTACCTCAAATCAGGCTACAAGTACAGTATGTGCAGTATTCCCTGTGTAATTTTCTCTCCATCTTTCCATATAGATCATTGAGGAGAACGGAGTGAGGCGGGTGTTGGTCTTACCTCAGACGGAGTTTCATCCGGGAGGCCATTCCCCGCTTCACCACCCGCCCCCTCCGCCGCCCCACGCCACACACACACACACACACTTTTGCTTTACCAAGAGTGAGGACAGAATGCTGTGCCACTGCTGACTCTTCAAGGAAAAAATATAGGCCTATATTTTAGCTGAGTTATGAACTCTCAGAGAGGGAAAGACTGAAAAGCTGTGAAATATGTTTCCAGTAAATAGTCAACACAACAAAAACAAAATCCTGTAGGGAACACTTACCTTTACCATAGACTTGGGACACTTTACTAAAATTTCATTAATATTATTATGAAGTATGCTATAAATGCACATATTTAAAAATTACACAAAAAAATGATTAAATATATTTATTAATTAATATAATTAAGTTTAATTATTAACAGCAATTTAGTGAATATTAGAAGTTAATATCGGTCATTTATCCTGTATGAATATTCATAGTGGTAATCATTTTAATATTAATACATAATAAAAATTAATTAAATCAATTGCATGTAGTCTTTTTAAATGAAATTGAGTTTTTGAGTTAAGTATTAGAGTAATACGTTTTTCAAGTAAACAATCAGTAATAAAGAGAAAATACATAAAAATAAGGGCAGTGATAATTTTTCTTGATAGTATTGCTGTTTTATTAATATTAATGGCATAATCAGTGTTATTGTTAATTGAAACTAAAACTACTGAAATAAAATAATAATAATAATAATAATTATTATTATTATATACATAATAATTATATATACGTATATAATGTTAGAAGAAAAACTTAAACGAAAATTAGAAATGTTGCTTTGTCAACTAACTAAATAAATTTTTTGAAGTACTAAAATTAATAAAACTAAAATTCAAAAAATGAAAGCTAAATAACGATATTAAAAATGACAATTATTATCAATTATTAACTTATCAACTAAATTTAAATGAAAACTAAAAAATTAAAAATAGAATAAAAAATTGTTTTCGCTTTTTTGCGCTGCGAATGATCGGAGTGTAAATAGCCCCATAGGGATCTGTTTTTTTTTTTTCGATTCAAAAGCGTCATATTGCACCAAATTTTCATGTTCAGTGTGAAAAAGCCTTTAGACTACTATTTCTTACTTAATTATAGTAGCTACAGACCCTTATTCCCTAAATCAACTTTTTGCATTTCTAGGATAAATATATATATATATTTATTAAGAATTTATACATTTCAGATCATGGACACTTCGCTGCATGGCACATTATCACCTGTGCACTATTTTTCAATAATTCAATGATCCGTTGCACATTATTCCTTACATGTATCTCTGTTTTCCGATTTCCTCAGATACTCACCCTCCACATGGACGTGCGGCATTTGCTCACAGAGATGAAAGGGCTAGCAAAACCTACGAGCGGCTGCAGAAGAAACTGAAGGAGAGGCACGGGGTGGGCGGAGGGGGAGGTGGAGGCCTGGCCCTCTCCAAAGACAGTCCCCCTCCGTCCCCGCAGAAGAGCCGTGGGACACCGCCGTCAGGAGGAGATCTCCAGAACGGGCTGGGGGGTAAGGGTGCAGATGAGCAAGCACAGCCCAGCACTGCAGTCACCTCCCTGGGCAAAAGTCCAGGGAGAGGGAAGGACACGGAATCTGGAGGTAGGATATACATTAGGGTCCTAGAACCATTAGAGTAAAGCAGTAAGCCACAGGATGCTGTGTGTTACAGTGTTTTTACCACAGTTAAAGGGATAGTTCACCCAAAAACGTTTATGAATGTTTACCAGAAATATTTTGAAGATTGGTGGTTGCTATTGACTTCCATAGTAGGAAAAAAAATACTATGGAAGTCAATGGCATCCACCAACTGTTTGATTACCAGCAGTCTTCAAAATATCTTCTTTTGTGTTCAACATAAGAAAGCAACTCATACAGGTTTGGAACGACATGAGGGTGAGTAAATGATGACAGAATTTTCATTTTTGGGTGAACTATCCCTTTAATAGGCGTGAGGCTCAAAATGAAGCATAGTGCCTAAAACCCATGTGAAAATGGAACACGCTGCTTCTTGTGTCTTACCAGTGGTAAAGCAATGATTACATTTATTTATGGTGATCTAATAAGAGTTTTGTTTTGTGCTTTTTGTTTTTTACTTTTATTTTTTGCTTGGTTTATTTTACCTTTTTGTTTCAAATGATATTATCAGTATAAGAATTTAAGTGAAAACCATGACATAATGAAAGTTATCACTGTCCACCTATTTGTTTACATTTCATTAATGAATAATACTGATCAAATACTACTGCTTTCTTTTACTTTACATTTGTTTAAATCCAAAGCTTCATGTATTTTAAGGTTTACATGAAGAAAATCATAGTGTTTCAGTATTGTCTCAGCTCTTGGAACCCCACTGCAGTTTATTAGACTGATCGTGAGGTATTATGTATAGATATATAGTCTTGTTGCATTAATAGGTTTGCGTAAATCAGCTATTTAGGCCCAATCCCAATTCTATTTTATACCCCTTCCCCTCCGCCTAGGGGTGAAAATATTCCCCTAAGAATTGTGACACCACTACTATACGTCACACGTCATCATATGTCGTCTAGCTCCTACAATACCAGTATGGTACACCTATACTGGTGTGCTGGTGTGCATTAGAGCCTTTAATTACCGTTCTATATTAATGTGCTGCTTACTGACACACACACATATCGGAGATCGCGCAGCTCACACATCCAGGAGAAAAGAAACTTGTCAATGCTGCCCCGCAACTTTTATTAATAACAGTTTAAATATCGAATCTCTAAATTATATTTTCCATCATATTTATTTTTTAAATTAGATTTTGACGAGAGGATAAAATCGCCGTTTTTGAAGTAAACTCACTCATTGTAAAGAGAGACGCACAGACGCGCATACACGCAAGTTTCATCTCTCTCTCGAATTGGCAATATTTAAGAAAAGGGTTTAGCGATTTTTAATTATTGGGGGGACTAGCCCCCCTCAATGTCTATGGTGGTTATCGCCCTGATCAGACATGAAAATATGTTGTGGCACTATCGTGCAGTCTGTAATGATATGACGTTAGCAAAGTTTAGAGATTTTTTGCAAACATTTCTTTGAGTAACATGACCGTAAATATGAACTCACGATTGAACGTAACATAAAACAAATTATTACTTTTCCTTAAAATCTTTATTAATGCCAAAATTGCTTACATTTATGTGTCTTTTTGTTAGCTCGGGCAGCCATGTTGCCACTGAAGCCGGTTTACGCGGAGATAATTCATACCCCTTCGTTTGAAGTGTGGTCCCGAAAAATCTTCGTTTAAAGGGCTATCTGGCCCTTCCCCTTACCCCTACCGGAAAGGGGAAGGGCTAAGGGGTAGAATTGGGATTGGGCCTTAGTATCAACTTTGGCTCATCCAATCACATTTTAGCACGAACATAGTTTTACAAATTAGACTTTAATGATAATCTCCTACTACATCTAATTAAAAGATAAACTTGCTTAAAACCGACCAGGTAATTAAATATTTACTATTTATCTCTCCTTCAATCAATAACCAACTGGAGTTACTCATGCGTGCGATCACTGATGGTGATATGTTAGGAACTAGCTATTAGCATTAACAGACATCAATGTCCCATTAAGTCTTCTTTTTCCTAGGATGATTATATCTCAGGTTCCAGGTAGAAGCAGGGCTCCAGGGATGGGCCCGTTGTAAACTGGCCCGAGCAGCTCGTCTCTGGTCTCATTAACTCCTTCAGCTTTAGGCTGCTGCAGATAACATTAGCTGTAATTACCCCTGCACTGACTCAGTCATTTATCAGTGCTAACTAACTCCAGCCTGGAGGAACTCCGCTGGAGTTACTGTATGCCAGCTAAACTTGGTGTATCTATTAATCCATTCATGGAAAATAAATGCCTTTTGTGTGATTAAATAGGCGAGACTGAACATGAAACCTTGTCCTCTTTTTTGAAACTGTTGATAAGGGAGTAGTCTTATCTAGATATTGTTTTTTTTTTTTTTGTTGTTGTGTTTTTTTTTAATGTATGTAGAACTGGACAAAGAAGCAAAGGCTCTTCAGGAACGACTAAACTCCATCTGCAAGCCAGTGGTAAGGGGATGATTTTATTTTAATGTTCATTTGTTAATATTTATGTGCATATTTTGATTTTCATTTAATGTTAACCCATAGTTTTCTTAAGCATTTTTAGCAGTTGCCTGGTATTTTAATATATATAAACACACCAAATTAATACTTTTATTCAGCAAGGACCGGTTAAAATGATTAAAAGTGACAGTAAAGACATGTATACTATCAATATTTCGCTTTCAAACTAATGCTTTGTTTTACTTTCTATTCACTAAAGGTTAAAGGATCGTAAAAAATGTTATGGTTTCCACAAAAATATTAAAAACACGCTTGTTTTCAACTTTCTTGAGAATAATAAATGTTTCTTGAGCAGCAAATCAGCATATTAGAATGATATCTGAAGAATCATGTAGTGGCTGCTGAAAATTCAGCTTTGCATCACATGAATAAATGTCAACTAGCAATGCTTTATTTACTCTACAGTTTATTCTACAACTAAATATTAATACAGGATCAGTTATTTTAAATAAACATATTTTAATAAAATTGTATGTTTAGAAAAAAACATTGATAAGCAGGCGAACCACAGAAGATTGGCAGATTTATCCAGAGATGAAGCAGACCAAATGTTACCTTTCAAGCCTGATGAAGTTTAAATATATTTTTCTGCTTGCTTAGAATCTAGCCATGCCTTTAAATAATTTAAAAATAGATAATGGCTAGTTGTAGTGCTGGGCGGTATACCGGTTCATACCGAATACCGGTGTTTATTTTTGTTATGATATGAATTTTTAAAATACCGCAAGTATGTCACTTAAACAACGTTCGGAACGCAACACTGTTTGAAATGGGTCCCTTTTCACTGTTGCACTGTGGTGAGGGAACAGCTGTATGTGTTACTAGCGTGAAAGTTCCGAAACTGAAGCTGTAGAACTAATAGAACGTGATGATACAGAAGAACTCATCCACAATATCCACATTGACCGCCACAAATATCCAGCGCCCCTTGCCATCAGCTCCCGCGTCTACCGGTATAATTTTGAAAAATACCGTGATATACATTTTTGGTCGTACCGCCCAGCACTAGCTAGTTGCTTGGCTTGCGAAGTCTGTGTTGGGAAAGCAAAATAAAACGTTGTTGGGTACACTTATTTTACCTAATATTTATTCAAAATCCCTTCGCCAAAATATGTTTGAAAATGGATCCATCGATGTGGCTTGACCTTTTGAAAGGGTGGACAATCTCACGCTGGCCAAATACCAGTCTATTAATCAGCCTGCCTAAATCCATTAGTCTATCGCTGGTATAATCATACTGATATTGCATACTGTTCTTCTTAGTGAGCTATTTGAAAGGCCTTTATGCAACATTTGACAGTCCTCTCACTGAGAAACCACCTTCTGAAGAACTGTACGGCTGCTTGCTGCGTCAACGGTTTTCTTAATGACAGTCATTTCCACGGTCGCAAAAACTCGACATCCATGCATGATTATAGTCCCCACAAGAAGACAGTAATGGCTCTCCATAATGGGTCATTAATGCTGTGTTTGATTTGATTCATAGAGGAAGCTAAATGGCTGTCTTGTCTGGTGTGCTGGGATCTGGTTTATTGGTGTTTTCATGAAACAGTGAGTTTAGCTTTGGCGAAACAGCCCTGTCCAATTCACTATAATAGTGATTACCGATCCTTTGTCATTAGACATTAGGGATGTAACAATTAACCGCGAGCCGGTTGAAAATCGATTCAAATATGTGACGATTCAAATCGGTTGAGATGCTAAACAAATCGTGATTAATTTAGGGGTAGGAGTTTATATGAATGCATGTCTGAGGGGAACTTACTGTCTTTAGAAAAGTTTAGATGGTATTTTTTCTTTTCATCTTGCCTCTGTATAATGCATATTAAAGTTCATAAGTGCAGCGCTGCTTAGTTTACAGCGGAAACATTTAATTTATAATTTGTCTTAAATCTCATTTTGTAAAGAAAAAAAAAATTGTGAAATCAAAATCGTGAATCGAATCGTGACGTTGAGTGAACCGTTAAATCCCTATTAGACATTCAAACCTTTTTTGAACATTGTCCTGAACATTTTTTTTAATCTTAGTAGGCCATGAGATATAAATAAATAATAGAGGCACTACAAATCATTTTTAAAAAGGCCGATTAAGCATGCTATTCAAAATACTATTCACAAAATATAGTACAGTATACAAGCTCTTTACCACCATTTACATGCAAGTGATATATAGAAAAGAGATTAATTGTATTTCATTGTTTTCTTAGAAAATGTAAGGTCATGTCCCAAACATTTCTTAATTTTTTTTAATTGGAATAAAAAAAATAAATAAAAGAAATATATTGAAGAGGAAATTTCATCTGATAGATTTAGGTATTTAAAAAAAAAAAAGTGTATAAAAAATGTGCCAAAACAATTTGGCAGACATTGTAAAATTAATGTCTTTGGACTCCTTATGAACCACCTAGATAGGTAAAAACTGTTTTGTTTCAGTAGCGCAAAGCTTTGTCAAGACTTCCATCTTTTATTCAATTCTGGTTGGGAGAAACAATGGCAAAAACCAAACATCTAGCCAATAACTTTTCTGAGGATTGGTCTGAAGATTGTGAGACAAATTTGGTGAAGATGGAATAAAATTAGTTGGAGAAAAAGTGTAGCATGCATTATTTGAGTATCGTTCTACCTTTTCTTAACTCTATGAAGAATGAATAAATTAAGGCCACTACAAATCAGTTTAAAAGGTCTACAAGAGTTACTTTTGCATAATGATCCATTTTCCAGAATTTTTGATGCAAGTATTAAGCAAATGAAGTGCATGTTAATTTTCACAAAGTATGCTGTCCTTCCTTGCTGCTCATAAAACATTATCTGCTATATTTATTGTCACATATTTTGCCTACTCAGAATGATGAGTCAAAGATATTGGTCAGATTTATGTAGATCAGTTGCATCAGTAACTGAAAAATTATTTCCACAACTTAAGCAGTGAGAAATGTTGTAGCAAAAAGTGCAGAGGAGAGAATCATGCCCCGCAAGGCACAGATAAAATAGGTTATTTTTTAAGCCAGTTTTGGCTTAGTAATCTGCATTAACTTGAGCTATTCTTGTTTGAAAACCCGAAAGGTACATAGTCATGCATCCATAACTAAACGAGACGCTTGTTTCTCAACTGGAATAAAGCTAAAAATATTCCTTCTTGCATAACAGGAGTTCTCTTTTGTTCCGGAGGGGAAGTGCCGCATGTCATTAAAATAAACTAAAGTGACTCTTTCCAGGCGAAACAAGCAGACGTTTGTATTTCCCACATAAACGTGCATGTAGTTAAATATATAGCCGATTAGCCCCAGGGAACAATTAACCTCTGAAAGTAGTTGAACACAAGACAATGGGTTTCACCAAGTCAGAAAAATTGAGTTTGAATTAGTCATGCATCTTGTTTTCACTCATTTAAAACTTTTCCTTTTCGTCTGTATATACAGTCCTTTTTCTGTCCTTGTGCATCACATTCACTCAGTTTGCAAACACAGATTCTCAGTCTGTTTAGGGGACCTAAAATTAAAAGGGCTTCTTTGAGACAGACTATTTGCACAGACAATCCCCTGTCAAGTCAGTTATGAAAATAATTGTTTTGTAATTGTAGTTGTGCTTTTCCTTATTGTGAAATGTACTTAACAAGACCAGAAACACAATCTATGCATGTTTGCAGACATAAACACAGAGAATGCTTGATGTTTCCAAGGTAGATCGTGACTTCCATCTTTCCCATCAGCTCTGTTAAATTATCTGTTAAATAATATTTAGACCAACTCTCACAAAAGTTATTCACTGGATTTTTGGTTTTCGCCCAAGAAAAATTTAACAGAGCTGATGGGAAAGATGGAAGTCACGATCTACCTTGGAAACATCAAGCATTCTCTGTGTTTATGTCTGCAAACATGCATAGATTGTGTTTCTGGTCTTGTTAAGTACATTTCACAATAAGGAAAAGCACAACTACAATTACAAAACAATTATTTTTTTTGCACAGATGTGCTTTTTTTGCACATTAAGCACATCTGTTGAACAAAAAATGTTTGTGGAAAAAGAGATATTCCAAGTTGATCAAATTGTTCAACTCATTAATAAATTAATACCACTACGAATCAAATTGAACAAAAGTTAGTTTTGCACAATTACCAAGACTTCACCCAGAAACCAAATCTATGCAAATTTGTAGACACACCTGTTGAGAATTCTACCGATATTTGCATTCAAATTTTAAATCTCTTTGTTTTGTGTACATTTTGTCTTAAAATTAAAGAAAAAGTTGATAAAAATTAAATAAATAAATCTGTCACTTCTCGAATGCAACAACTTGTGGCATTTGTGCATACAAATTAGGGCTGGGCGATATTATCATATATCGGCGATGTCTCGTAAGTATCGCGATGTCGATATCAGCAGTCAGGTAACAGACGATTATCAACATTATATACGCGAACACTGGACTGAGGTCTCTTTCTCGCGTTCTTACACATTCGAATGGACAAATACACACAGAATTATATAAAAATATCCCATAAATACAATCGGTTATGTCTTAAGTGAACGTAAAGAGTTGAGAAAGAAAACAAGGGTGTATTGGATCCATGCATTGACAGCTGCCGCCAGACATTAATGTTAATCAAAGAACAAAAGAAAGGAAAATCCCTCACTGATCTTGACTGAATCACTTTTGTAACCTCAGTTTATATTTTATTTGCCTGTTGTTCGGCGCTGACTACTGTAATGGCAACGTGCATCTCTGTTTGCGATTATTTTGGAGATGCGTTCCAATATAATTTATCCTTATTTAGGGTATAGGCCTATTCTCTTTTGATCTGCAGTTTAATAAAAGTTAAACAGAAAAAAGACAAAGTAGCACTGCATGTGTTTCTGAATATTTATTTAAACCGACTGTATAATGATGAAAACCCACAAACTTGACAGGTATAATTAAAATACGCAAATTCCTTAAGTGCAATATTTTTAAAGATTTTTTAAACCGTGTATACAATATAATTATGTTTAATTGAGCTGAGATATAGCACTATAAATTCTTAATTCATTTGCAACAAAACTTTATAGAATGAAGACGGATGAAGACATTAGTAGGCTTCTCAGCTCGCCCCTCAACATGCATGCGTTCGGAGTTTCGGCAGCCCAACACTGAATATTATTTTGTGGATTAAAAACGGGCCGAAAGAGACCTCCGAACTACTAGGCTACCAGAAAGGGAAAAAAAAATCCTTAACATTTTTGCTCAGAATTATTTTTTAATCCCTGCGTGATTTTAGTCATTCATGATAAAACTAATGTTTTAGCACAAACTAAGAAAAGTAAAACCAAACTTTGTGGCAATAATTAAGACCAAACTGAACATGGTGTGTTTATGGTGCGTGTCAGCAATGTTGTCTTGGCGGGGGAGGGGCGGGGCGTGGTGGAGGTGGGGCTTAGGTAGACGATTTTATCGGATATCACGATATTTTTAAAGGCGATTATCGATACGATATTTTTGACATATCGCCCAGCCCTACTTTACAGTTGCCAAAAATATAACTTCTGTCAGGACCGCTATTGTCAAAATGATAGATACTTAGCATAAAGTTTGGTTTGGCGGTATAGTTCTGTTCTGGACAAAAACCTCCCTGCCCATCCATGCAGCCTGTCATGAATGAGCAGGGAGAGCAGCAATAATAACCCCCCTAGGGCGGATAACGCGATATTTTTAAAGGCGATTATCGATACGATATTTTTGACATATCGCCCAGCCCTAATACAAATTAGCCTAAAGTAGGTTTCAGGCAATGTTTAGCAATGCACAATAAATAATAGTACTATGTTGTTGTTTTTTTATGATATAAAAAATATATGAGTTGGGTGGCCCCATCACAGCCAGAAGGTGACGATGAGCCCAAAGAGGGAGAAGAAGGCCCTGCGGAGCCCAGCTTCACGTACGAGGTCTCAGTCTCGCACAGTGGCAAGGATGGGAAGTTCAAGAGCGCCTACAGGTGAGATGCTCCGTGTCACGCTGCGGAGGAGTTCTGGGCAGGATGTGGAGAAGGTGTGGGTGCAGTTGAGGAACTCGCTGTTGTTTTTTGTGGTTTGCTGTGGGTTTTCTGAAATCAGTGATAGCTAAAGGTCAACAGCAGTTCACCTGACATATGCAGCTCTTTTAAGATCACAACGATAGATGAATCCAGACGAGTTGTTTTAATTGTTTACATTCTTCAAAAATATTACTAATATTTTCTTTCTTGTGTCTTTTGCTTGTGTCAGTGGTGTGGAACTAAGTGCAACCTTACAAAACTTAAGACCAGCAACAGACTACCATGTCAGGTTTGTGTCAGTTTTGATTTTTAAATGCACATTATAAGACATTATAAGAATTGGTTTTACACATTCTAGTATTTACAGCACAGCTCAGTCAAGAATGACTTCTTTATAAATACAATTCTTTATGAATATTTAGTTATATTGATAGGCTTGCCGCAGTAATCATTGTTAGCAGCTGTTTAGCAATATTTCTATGTTTAAAGGCACAATATGTAAGTTTTCGCCACTAGAGGTCGCATTTTCAAAACAATAACAAAGGCGAAGCTTGATGACGCCATGAAGGAGAGTGGAACGATAGAAGATGTCGTTTCACCATCCAGAGATGTCCGAATCATGTTCACGGATGTAATTAATTTTTTTTTTTTTATTACCTGTACCTTCCAAAGTCTTCCAAACAGCGAATAAATTATATAGAGAAAGCAAGCAAAGAACATTTAACGTTACATTGTCAAAGAACAGTATGCCTGACTTCAGTCTAACGCGAGTTTAAGCACTCTCAAAAAACTCCCCTTATTATCAGTAAACAGTAAAGCTGTCTATACACTTTTTGATGAATGAATCTCCTACTTACATCATACGTACATCTGCACTTTGTTGTTTATGATGAGAGAATAGCGAGCGTGCGCACTGAACAAAACTCCGGTGTTTCATCGATGACTCATCTAAACGCCTCTGATTGGCCGCTGCGTTCATAAACTCAACAGACTCGTGTGTGTGATTGGTTATAGCGTGCAACACTGTAAAAACGCGGAAAAAGATTCATGGTGCAACACTGAGCAGATCTAAATTTAATGCTGCAGCCAACACTTTTCATTTCATTTTCATTTTATTCGCGAATGGAAATAATGGATTTAGTTTAACTGCAGCAGCATTTTTGTCCACGTGTGTTACCATAGTTTCTACAAGCGGAAACCGATATTAATAAATGATAAACCGCGCATATATTACGTCATTGATAGGCGACAATGAACCGGGATGAGCCATTATTTAAAATTCGAATTTCTCTGGATTTACAAATCCTTGGGAACTTTTGGAATGACGTAAGTGCACAACTGCATGAAATATATAACAATGTGCAGGTGGTTTTCGGATATTTTATTACGAAAATCGTACATATTGTGCCTTTAATACAAGTGAGTTTGTCTTGGTTTTATTATTGTTGTTGTGATTTTCATTAAGAATAATCATGAACCAAAAATTAAGCATTCATTTTTAAGTAAGGGGGAAATCCAGATCTTTCATTTATTTGTGTTAACACAGGTGTATACTAAGCCCCTCATATGACATGCGGGAGAAAAAAGAAAAAAAATCTTCGTTCCCAAGTTTGATATTGTAGTTTGTAGTAATTTGTTTCTTCATTTTAATTAAATAAAAATTATGGAATTAATTAGAAAAACATGACCACAATTCAATAAAATTACGGAACAAATTAAGTCGTAGGAACAAATTCAGAATTCGTGGCCACAATAAATATATTTTTGTCCACATCTCATGTGCAGGGCTCTGTACATCACCCATCTTAATTTTGTTAAAGGGGTCATATGATGCGATTTCAATTTTTCCTTTCTCTTTGGAGTGTTACAAGCTCTTGGTGCATTATGTTTAATATAAGTGAGTTTGTCATTGTACTGTTTTTTATTGTTTTTTTTTTCAATAAGAACAATAAGGAATCCATCATTTTCAAGCATTTATTTTGTTCAAAGAAAGGGAAAGAGGTAAAGATTTTTAAGATAAACGTTAAAGATCAAACTAAGCGCTGCAGATCCTGAGCATCATTGACAAATATCTTGTAAAATGTGCAGTGTAATTGGTTATATCGTTGTTGTATCGTAAGTTGTCACAAGTGTATTAATCAGTAGGAAAATGTCCTCACTGGTGCCTCCCTATATATAATTAGTAATAGTACTAATAATATAGTTATATTAATCGTATTACAAGAATATTCATTCTTTATTAATAAAATTCTTTATAAATAATATGTAGTAATATTAATAAGTTACTGTCACATTGGCTGGTTGCAGTTGCTTTAATAATAATAATAATAAATGTGGTTATATTAATTACAAGAATATTCAGTTTTTATAAATAAAAATCTTTAAGTTCTAAAACTATTCCTTCATTTACCGTTGGTAATTGTACTGTTTCTGTATGCTAATATGAGTCTATGTGTTGTGTGTGTTTAGGGTCCAGGCCATGTGTAACTGTTTACAAGGCGTTCCTTCAGAGCCTGTGAGCTTCACCACTCTGAGCTGTGAGCCAGACGGGCCCAGCCCGCCACGCAAAACCAGCGGCACCAAGAGCAGCCTTGTCCTGCAATGGAAGGTGTGTGCACACATTAACACGCTGGCACATCAACAATCCCACATAAATGTTATAGTACATATTTAACTAGACATATTAAGTGCATAACAACAATTTTTTTTTCTAGGCTCCATGTGACAACGGTTCCAAAATCCAAAACTATATTCTTCAGTGGGATGAGGTGCATTATTTTCCGTTATTGCTGTTTGTGTTCATATTTCTTAAGCCTATTTTTAGAAACGTAGATTTTTTTGCATTGTTTATGAAAATTAAGTAAATTTTTAAACCAGTTCTCATTACTGTAATGTGCAAAAATATGCATTATACAATTTGTACCTTAGTACTAAATTTAAATGCTTATTTTGATGAAAGCAAAAACATTGTGCACAGACAGGATTATTTTTATTACTGTGTTACAGTGATGGGAATATTGTTAGTAGGGATGCACCGATACTGGTATCGGTATCAGGCCCGATACTGCGCTCCTGTATTCGTATTCGTACTCGTACTCGTAAAAATGCCCCGATACCAAAAGCCGATACCACACACCGTGTAAACAGAGCTGTGTCCAGAAAAAGAAACACTGACAACAGAACAACAGAGAGTAGAATGGAGTTATTAGAGATTAAGGATGTCTATGAAGTACATGTAAGTAATTAATGTTAAACATTCAATATTCACGCCTGTATAGCGGATGTGCGCAAGCTGATAAGCAGAGTGCGCTGAGTGGATTGAGTGCGCGGCTGCACAGATGCGCGAGCTTGTCGAGTGAATATCTCACAGACATCACTGGAAAGTTTGTAGTTCGGTCAGATATGTCAAAAGCAAGCAAGCAAAACGGTGCACAAGTTACTAAAGTTATTTGACGTTAAGGAGAGCGTGAGAGGGAGAGAAAGCGAGAGAGAGAGTCAGAGAGCGCACACTTCTGTGCTGCTTCAAAAGTGAAACTAGCAGACTGTGTGAAATGCACTAGGCTATAAGTGTCTCTCTCATTCTGCACCAATGCAAACGTGCGCGCGCTGCGTTGCTTTAGAATTATGGTTTTTATTCGTACGCGAGGGTCCGCGTACAGTGTGCGTGACGCAAATTACATCACCAAAATAGCACGTGCCTACTCGTATAACGTATAACGAGTGGTTCCCTGCATTATTTTAGGAAAATGTTTTATGATTACAGTATTGAGCTGCTGAAATGGAGCAGCTCTAATGTGCCATTAAAATGAACAGTGAAAGTAACAAAAGCTTATACAATACATTTTAACAGGTATAATTAAGTGCGGAAATATTTGTTTGCTAAATGAAGCCAACTAACATGATTCTTATTATTATTATTATTATTTTGTCTCTGTACCCAATGTTTGTGAAAAAGGACAAATACTGTGAAAATACAGGTATCGTATCGGTATTGGCGAGTACCAAAAATGAAAGTATCGGTATCGGACTCGTTCTGAAAAAAGTGGTATCGGTGCATCCCTGATTGTTAGTTACAAAAAATGAAAGTAAATCATCTAGACACATTACTGTGAGGACTGGAGGAAAAAATCATAATGTTTTAAAAAATATGCTTCATTTTCTTTATGCAAAACACAGTTCCTCAGCTGATCTGGGGTCTGTGAGGTGAGGTTTACGCATTTGTGTACTATAATGTGCTAATCCTAGCTGTGATCTGTGAACAGGGGAAGGGGACGGGTGCATTTGAACAGTGCTACTACGGCCCTCAGAAGCAGTACAGACTCACCAAACTCTCCACAGCTTCCAGATATTATTTTCGGCTGGCAGCCAAAAATGACATGGGGGTGAGGTATGTATCAATGTATCAAAATGTTCCAAAATCCAGCTCCTAAAGAAAAAGACTGTAAAATTGTTCAAAATTCCCTTTTTTTAAATTCCTGCTAATGGCAGATATATTGAAAAAATTCCTGACCATGAATTGAAATGGAACATATTTTCGTGTACCGTCGTACCGGGTAAAAATTGCATTGTTGAGAGGGAAAAAAACACAGTTAAGTTCCATCGGTGTATAAGTCGCACGGCGCATGTTATGATTACATTCAGAAATAATGTGAAATATTGGTGAATAAAATGCTTGCAAACATTACAAACAATATAAACATTATAGTGGTATTCATTATAAATAACATTTAGGCCAAACCTATAAACAAACGTGAAACTGAAACTGGCATTGGGCTCACGTGCCTCTCTGATTCGGCATGAATCCAAGTGCTTTCATCTTCCCGATGTAGCCTAATGTTTGGTTGCTAAACTATTATGTAGTATGTAAACAAGTCTTGTACTTTACTCATGCCCCAATATCCACGTTAAACAGCATTCTTCACATGCGCATATTTGAAATAACACCACAGTGGTTTGTCAAGTTAGCAATACTAGAACTGACATGTTGTGTGTGTGCATATTTATGTGCGTTTTACCCATGTTTTACATTATATATACTTTGGAATATAATTTGCAGCATGTTTCAGATGATAAAAAAGTGACTTGTGTTCCGTAAAACACAGTATACTGTATATACACAGTATATATTTTGTCCTTATGATCATTTACTTGTTTACTTTTTCCATAGTGAGTTCAGTGATGTCGTCCACATCATGACATCATGCAGTGTGCCTGCTCCTCCCTTAAGCCCTGAGCTGATTCAGTCCGGGGTCACATGGCTCTGTGTGCGATGGCACAGGCCTGCCGGCTCACCGAAAGAGGACGAAATCAGCTACGTGCTGGAGATGGAAGAGGAGGGCTCAGTGAGTGAGAGATGCACAAACACTGTCGCAGAAATGCAACACATACTCCAATCAGCAGCAAAAAACTGACAAATAAATTACACATAAGCCCTGCTCATACCTGGAATGAACCTCTATCTCTGATTTTAGAGGTAGTCAGAGATATATGTTAGCCACATCAGTTTTGCAGAATAAGCATTACTTTGTCCTGATGCATCCTGGACTGAGCTTGAGAGTGCTACATGCTATGTAAAAAATAATTTATGCAAACATTAAGTGGGTAGTAAACCGTGATCTGTCTCATACTTGTGAAGGCAAATGTTAAATCGTGGTGTAAAATGGGCCAAAAAGTTTGTTTTCCATAAGTAGGTTAGGTTTTTAATGTGTTTTTGCATGAATATGTCATGTGTTTCACAGGGTTATGGGTTCCAGGCCAGTTATGATGGTGATGAGCTGTCACACACTGTCAGAAACCTCCACAGGAGCACCACATACCGGTTCAGGGTGAGAACACACAAACACACACTGATTGCCTTTTTGACTCCTTGTTTGTGTGATTTTTTCTTTTCTTTTTGTTAGTTAGGTTAGTTTGTTTCTTTCTTTCTTTTTATTTGTTTGTTTGTTTCTTTTTTGTTTCTTTAGCTTGCTAGTTCTTTTATTTATTCAATTTCTTTTTTTGTTTGAACATTCTTTGTCATTTTTTCTTTCTTTCATTTATTTTCTTTCTTTTCTTTTCAATCTTTTTCTTTTATTTCAGTCTATTTCTTTTATTTTTTGCTTTTCCGTTTGTTCATTCTGTCAATTTATTATTGCGGTCTAATGTTTTTTTCTTTATCAGTTTCTTTTGTTTATTCTTTTTCTTTTTCTTCCTTTTATCAGTTCATTTTGTTTTTCTTTTTTTGCTCTTATTGTTTATTTTTTGTATGTTTCTTGTTTGTTTTGTCTTTCTTTTGTTACTTATTTTATTTGTTAGTTCTCCCTTTATACTTTTTAAATCTTTTTTTTTAAATACGCTTTCTTTCTGTCTTTCATTTTTCTTCAGTTCTTTCTTTTTCTATCATTTTAGTCTTTTAGTTTTTGCTTTTCTGTTTGTTTATTCTTTGTCATTCTTTTTATTTAGTCTATTTGTTCTCTTATTCTCAGTTTTTTGTTCTCTTTCTTCCATTATCAGTTTCTTTTGTTTTTCTTTTTGTTTGTGCTTTTTCTTTCATTTGTTTATTCATTTTGTTAGTTTGTTCTTTTATTTGTTCTTGTTGTCTTTTATTTGTTTAATTGTTACTCCTTTGTTTTTTGTTAGTCCATTCTTTTTTGCTCCGTTTTTTGTTTCCTCTCCTCAACTCTTGATTCTCCTCACCCCATCCTGTTCATGATTGAGACTCAGCTGTTGCCAGCGGCTGTGAGATGAAGCAGGTGGTGTAGTGATGCGATCGGTCACTGTTCTCTGGTGTTGGTTGATCATAATCATGTTTCAAAAACAAAAGTGTATTAATGCGATCAGAATGGTTGCATGTATCCTGATGAGAGGAGCTGATTACCTTCCGAGAGCTCACATCCCCAATTACTGCCAATTACTATGATAGATGACATCACAACAGCACTGTTTATTTCTGAACCGTGAAACGCTTCCTCATCCTGCGCTTTTATCAGGGGGAAAACTGTTTCTGAGTGAGATAAATTTGGTGGTGAATATAAAGGGTTTTGAAATGCTCTAGAGATTTGCATTCCCTCTGCACCCAGTGTTTGGGTGAGTCATAATGAAGCCTATTTTTCGGACCATGCAGATTTTTTGCATTGTGACATTTTGAATCATTAATAAATCCCCCCCACCACACGCGCACACACACTCTCATTACTATAATGGATTACAATCTGCCTTTTTTTTTTTTTTTTTAATCATTGCAGGTTATCGCCTATAATGCAGAAGGGAAAAGTAACCCCAGCGGTGTGTCTGAGTTCACCACGGCCCCTGACAGACCAGGCTGCCCCTGCAGACTCACAATGAAGGGAAAACCTCACCCGACCAGTTTCCGTCTGACCTGGGGTCAGTTCAGCATGTTATAAACACACAAAGTTTGATCTTTGACTCAGTAAAACCAAAAGTAATCTAGAAATCACCTTCATATACTTTGACTGTTTTTATGGCTCAGTCATGAAACCTGGTGAGCTGCCTTTCTAAGCAAAGTTTTAGAAATGTATTCTTTGTGTATACAACAGTTTTTCACAAAAAGAAATTTCCATCCAAGATGAAGTGAAACTTTGGTTAATTATATTAAAATGTTACAATAGAAATGCAGAATGTACTGCTAGCCAGGGTTATTATCATAAACTAAAACCATAAAAAAAAAAACGTTTTAATTGTTTTAAATGAAATAAACATTCCCCCGGTTTCATAGACAAGGCTTATACCTAGTCCTAGACTAAAATGTAAATCTGAGCTGTTTCAACTGAAAGAAACTTGCACTGACTGATCTTAAAACATGTCAGTGCCTTTGTTTTGTCTTAAGATGCACACCAGTAATGCTTTTTTTAAGGCATGTTTATAAAAATAACTTAAATGTCCTAATTGAACAATGGCCTAATCCTGGTTTAGGCTAAGCCCTGTCTATGAAACCGGGCCATTAAGTGTGAAAATTAAATAAAAAAATGTAAGCTTATTTAATTTCACCTAGTTGCATTGGCTTTCTCATTTCTGCTTTCTTGAGGTAAAGTTGAGATACTAAAATAACTTAATGTAAAAGTAAAAATTGAAACAAAAATATATAAACCTGCATTAAAAACTAAAATTTATTTCAAAAGAGAAAATGTTTTAAAAAATTCTAAATTAAAATATTATAATAGTATCTCAATACTAAAATAACACTGGAACTGGCTGCTAAAACTAAGTGTGTGGGTTTTTTTGTGTGTTTTTTTTTATTGTGTTGCCTCAGATCCTCCAAAAGACAATGGTGGTTCAGATGTGGCGAAATATGTGGCAGAGCTGTCTGAAGGGTTAAGTGGTACGTTCCAATTAGGTTTTCTGGTGTGTCTACAGATGCTCAATTTGATCCCGCCAGTATGATGATTATTTATTAATTGCTTGTGTGTGTGTGTGTGTGTGTGTGTGTGTGTGTGTGTGTTTCAGGTTCTTCTTGGAATCAGGT